GCCATCAAAGCACTGCTAATTTTTGACAACCTCTCCATTTCCAGCAAGACCACCAGTGAGATACCCAGTCAATTATCCACCTTACTACACGCTTCTCAACGCAACTATCCAAACAACACAGTGAAAGAGCAAGCTTTTTTACCATCTCAACCTCTTGTTCGGGTCAATATTATGCTATGGGGACAAAGAGGAACCTTGCAACAACCTCCCCATTAATACATAACATGCTGACTTAGGCGTCATCTCCCGAACCAACGCCTTTGCCACATTATTCCTCAAGCCGAGGACGCCATATTCAGGGATTCAAAGGAAAGAGCTAGCAAACACAACCACCATCGAAACTGACAGCAGTCCTCACGTAGCAGACTCATCCCTGCCCCACCTGTTATTACATTTCACAGTCCTCATCACTTTGCCAGTTGCGTAGTCACCGCGCCAATTGTGGCAGGGTGTGGTCGCGCGACTTGCGTGAGACGTTGCAGCCTGCCGTGACAATATGTTGGATGTGGGGGTGTGGGTGGGGACGGTGTGTGGAATGCGAACAGGAATTACAAGAGAGGTGGTAGTTGATGGAGAAATTGTTTGATGAGTAGCATATGGGTGGAGTTTGCATACAGGAAAGTGGATTGCACCATGATAAGCAGTGTTTGAGGTGGACCGTCTCTCTCGCCTTGCTTTGTGTGCCTCGTAGGAATAGTCGTGAGTAGTAGGCACAGTGGACTGCTCACATCCTTATATTCCACTGTGGAAGATGTGGAACTGTCGTCACCAAAAGAGAGTGAACGCCTCAAATTACTACTGTGACGTTGGGATTTGTTCGTCCTGTTTGGATTGTCCCACTGCCATAAATGTGTATTCTGCCCGAGCCTCTGTCCTAACCTCCTCCACAACACCCATACTCACCCTCAACAAGGACTTGGAAGGCGGCCGCAGTGTAGACTTGGTCTTTAGACGGAAGATACCGAATTGCCGCATCCACGGCCAAGGGCCAACCACTGCGAATCGAGACGGCCCATCAAGCAACATCGGAGGTTGCGTAGTAGGCGATGAATTCGGTACAGAGCCCACCCAACGCAGACCTAATAGCACTACGCAGCACTCCCCTCGGCAGCTCCAAATCCACATCCACTTCCTCCAATGCATGCCTGCAGTCGAAGTACTCATGCAAGGCGTGGATAAGGTGGAGGTTATATACGTCCATGTGGCGGTCGCATTCAACAAAATATTGCATTGTCCCTCAGACCACATACCCAAAGGCTACATCTCCTACACAGAGAACACAGTAGGAGGAATATCAAGAGGTACACATCTGCAGCACAACGTCTCTGCTAGGAAGTATGGTCAAAATCACGGTGGGATTATATGAATCCCTCACATTCGTTCGAGAAAATTGCCATTAGTTTCAGGAACAATTATTCTACTTCTCCTAATATTACCTCATCCGCTTTATTCCTGTCCAAAGCTCCTTGATGAATGACTACAGACTTTCCATTGTCAGTGTTTACCACCACTTTAATAAAGCTATTCACGACCCAGCAGTGTTAATAACAAATCCCATCCATCCACCAACTGCCATTAAAGTGGCACAATTAACACTACAAAAGTTGATTAAGGCTATCCATAGGTAAAAACTTTAACACACTCAATGGGCGAGTATTTCCAAGTTTCAACAGACTACGTTTCGCTACTTATACGCAATAAGTAGCAAAGCGCACTCAGCGAATCGACTGCTTACGGGGAAACGAGCTCGCAGATTCGGTAGAACAGGAGGCGGGCATCCACACCGCAGAAACTGGGTGACCATCAGCACCAGCGCATATGTGGAAAGCCTCCCCATACTGCTGCTTCAGTGGGTGCGCATCCTTTGAGCCCAGTGCTCCACAAACACGCCAAGTGCAGGCAACCGAGGGTTCACTGTGAGAGAGTAAATTCATGCTTCTCAAATCCACTCCATCGACTGTGTGCACACCTCTCAACACACCATACAATCCACTGATCCTCTTCTAGCTCAACGTAATCATCACTAAATGCTTCATCTTCCACCCACATGCTACCGCAACACTCTTTTACTTGCAGGTGAAGTGCCACGCACACAACAATATGCTTTGTAAAA